TGTCTTAGTAAGTTGATGATCCGGTAAATAGCAGTACCGCTGATACAATCGTGAATTAAATGTGATCTCATGTTAAACGGTATGTTTGATCATCGGTCCGTCAAGTACAAAACAAAGCTAGATTAGCTATTTAGAATTTTAATGTAAAGCTAAGTCATCCTGATTCGGAATAAACATTCACTCTGTGTCCAAACCATTTTTTCTCAAACAACAAAATATTTTATAATTCACATTTCCACCGTAAAAACAACATATCTGACTACATTTCTCACATGTTACTGAGAAGGTTACAACTCCATGACTTACTAATGTACCCAAGTCCACATACTGATATCTTTACAGACAACACTCCAATTGTTTTAGACTGACGAGCCACCTACACGTGATCGTTGTGGAACCCTGCTTGCTTTGTGAGCTTTGTCTATGTATTATCGTACATAGGAATCAATGTCTAGTAAACTTCATTCATAGGGGATCTTAGGCCACGTGCAGACCACAACCTGGTCCAGAACTGTTTTAACAGTCCATGGTAAACTTGTTCATTTATCATGTAAAATGTCAATAGTATAGTTTTTATGGTTTCTTTGTTCTACAGGAAATTCTACGGCACTATATTCTAATGTTTTACGGCGGAATTGTTTTGTCCCGAGTTAGAAACGGCGCAGTGTCATAGTTACCGGTAAAATCCACAAAGTTGGAAGCAAACCGAGAATAGAAATGGTCGGGCATCCTGAAAAGTGGTATGTATTATTCATTTTAATACATTATGTCTCAGAAACGTTTAATGTTGTGTCTGTTGAACAAACCGTAGTGAGATTTGTGTTCCGAAATAATCTGAGCGATCAGTCTGGTGTATCTGGTAACTATTGGTGACATGTCAAGAATAGTCACGATTGTTCCTCTGCTTACAATAAATATTCATGTAGATTTAAATGGCTACACATGTTCAAAGCCTGCGTGTTTGTGTGTGGTAACCCTAGCAACTATCATGATGACAATGGCGTGCTTGTGTGTGCTAACCCTAGCAGCTGTCATGATGAAAATGGCGTACTTGTGTTAGCTAACCCTAGCAGCTGTCATGATGACAATGGCGTGCTTGTGTGTGCAAACCCTAGTAGCTATCATGATGAAAATGGCGTACTTGTGTTAGCTAACCCTAGCAGCTGTCATGATGACAATGGCGTGCTTGTGTGTGCAAACCCTAGTAGCTATCATGATGACAGTGACGTGTTTGTGCGTGCTAACCCTAGCAGCTGTCATGATGACAGTGACGTGTTTGTGTGTGCTAACACTAGCAGCTGTCATGATGACAATGGCGTGCTTGTGTGTGCTAACCCTAGCAGCTATCACGATGACCATGACGTGTTTGTATGTGCTAACACTAGCAGCTGTCATGATGACAATGGCGTGGCTGTGTGCTAACCCTAGTAGCTATCGTGATATAAATGGCGTGGTTGTGTTCTAACCCTAGCAGCTGTCATGATGACAATGCCGTGCTTATATGTGCTAACCCTAGCAGCTATCGTGATGACAATGGCGTGCTTGTGTTTGTTAACCCTAGTAGCTATCATGATGACAGTGACGTGTTTGTGTTTGCTAACACAAGCAGCTGTCATGATGACAGTGTCGTATTTGTGTGTGCTAACACAAGCAGCTGTCATGATGACAATGGCGTTGTTGTGTGTGCTAACCCTAGCAGCTGTCATGATGACAATGGCGTGCTTGTGTGTGCTAACCCTAGCAGCTATCATGATGACAGTGACGTGCTTGTGTGTGCTAACACTAGCAGCTGTCATGATGACAATGGCGGCTTGTGTGTGCTAACCCTAGCAGCTATCATGATGACAGTGACGTGTTTCTGTGTGCTAACACTAGCAGCTATCATGATGACAATGGCGTGCTTGTGTGTGCTAACCCGAGCAGTTATCATGATGACAGTGACGTGGGTGTGTGCTAACCCTAGCAGCTATCGTGATATAAATGGCGTGGTTTTGTGTGCTAACCCTAGCAGCTGTCATGATGACAATGGCGTGCTTGTGTGTGCTAACCTTAGCAGCTGTCATGATGACAATGGCGTGGCTGTGTGCTAACCCTAGCAGCTATCATGATGACAGTGGCGTCCTTGTGTTTGCTAACCCTAGCAGCTGTCATGATGGCAGTGACGTGTTTGTTTGTGCTAACACAAGCAGCTGTCATGATGACAATGGCGTGCTTGTGTGTGCTAACCCTAGCAGCTATCGTGATATAAATGGCATGGTTTTGTGTGCTAACCCTAGCAGCTGTCATGATGACAATGGCGTGCTTGTGTATGCTAACCCTAGCAGCTATCATGATGACAATGGCGTGCTTGTGTGTGGTAACCCTAGCAGCTATCGTGATATAAATGGCATGGTTTTGTGTGCTAACCCTAGCAGCTATCATGATGACCATGACGTGTTTGTGTGTGCTAACCCTAGCAGCTGTCATGATGACAATGGCGTGGCTGTGTGCTAACCCTAGCAGCTATCATGATGACAGTGGCGTGCTTGTGTTTGCTAACCCTAGCAGCTGTCATGATGACAGTGACGTGTTTGTTTGTGCTAACACAAGCAGCTGTCATGATGACAATGGCGTGCTTGTGTGTGCTAACACTAGCAGCTGTCATGATGACAATGGCGTGCTTGTGTGCGCTAACCCTAGCAGCTATCGTGATATAAATGGCGTGGTTGTGTGTGCTAACCCTAGCAGCTGTCATGATGACAATGGCGTGCTTGTGTGTGCTAACCCTAGCAGCTATCATGATGACAATTGCGTGCTTGTTTGTGCTAACACTAGCAGCTGTCATGATGACAATGGCGTGGCTGTGTGCTAACCCTAGCAGCTATGGCGATATAAATGGCGTGGTTATGTGTTCTAACCCTAGCAGTAATCATGATGACAATGGCGTGGGTGTGTGCTAACCCTAGCAGCTGTCATAATGACAGTGACGTGTTTGTGTGTGATAACCCTAGCAGTTATCATGATGATAGTGGCGTGTTTGTGTGTGCTAACCCTAGCAGCTATCATGATGAATATGGCGTGCTTGTGTGTGCTAACCCTAGCAGCTATCGTGATATAAATGGCGTGGTTATTCGTGCTCACCCTAGCAGTTATCATGATGACAGTAACGTGTTTGTGTGTGCTAACCCTAGCAACTATCGTGATGTAAATGGCGTGTGTGTGTGTGCTAACCCTAGCAGCTGTCATGATGACAATGGCGTACTTGTGTGTGCTAACCCTAGCAGCTATCGTGATATAAATGCCTTGTTTGCATGTGCTAACCCTGGCAGCTATCATGATGACAGTGGCGTCTGTATGTGCTAACCCTAGAAGTTATCATGATGACAATGGCGTGCGTGTGTGTGCTAACCCTAGCAGCTGTCATGATGTCAATGGCGTACTTGTGTGTGCTAACCCTAGCAGCTATCGTGATATAAATGCCTTGTTTGTATGTGCTAACCCTGGCAGCTATCATGATGACAGTGGCGTCTGTATGTGCTAACCCTAGCAGCTATCATGATGACAATAGCGTGCGTGTGTGTGTGCTAACTCTAGCAGCTGTCATGATGACAATGGCGTACTTGTGTGTGCTAACCCTAGCAGCTATCGTGATGTAAATGCCTTGATTGTATGTGCTAACCCTGGCAGCTATCATGATGACAGTTGCGTCTGTATGTGCTAACCCTAGCAGTTATCATGATGACAATGGCGTGCGTGTGTGTGCTAACTCTAGCAGCTATCATGATGACAATGGATTGTAGCTTACTGTATATATTGTTATACAAAGTAGTCACAAAGATTACGATACTGTTTTGATGATGTCTTGCGTCTATATCTGGTAAAAGATAATGTGCTAATGCTGGGGGAAGCACACGAGATTTCCGGATTTTAAAAACGTTTTCATCTACGATGAAGTTATTTTTCATTTCATAGAAAATTTTGTTTCGAACAGAAATCGGTGCTTAATTCTTAATCATGGAATGATTTGAGAAAGTTCAGTTTTGTCCTTTACGTTTAAATTACAGATAAGGATGGGGTGTGGGGTCAGTTTGTCAAAGACAACTGTCGACCCGGTCACCCAGCCGACAGACCGGGAACAGCGGGAGACAGTGACTGTAGTAGAGGATAAACCAGAATTTATCTCGGATACACAGTTGGAGATTGAGTACTTAGGAGAAGACCAGGTAAAAACCGTGTTATATACAGCTTCGATACTCATGGGGTAACCATCACTTTCGCTCTTTGAGTCCCTAGAATATGGCAGTATTGAGGGTTCTGTGTGCGGCACCTTGTGGACACGATCTGTTTGATCCTTTGATATACAAATTGCGAGGTCCCACACCGGTGTTTTGTAATGGATTTGAAGTTGGATATCGCATTTTGTAATTTTCAAACGGAGCGTATCAGCCTGTGATTGGTCCGTTTTTTCCATGGCATGTTCTACGGGTGCAGAGAGCAAAAGTGATCGTAACTCAGACAGATTCGCACATTTGTAACATACTATATTTTCTCATAGCATTACACAATACACAACAAAAGACTGTGTAAGGGGTTCTGGGTTAATGGGAGTGATATAAATGTATGTGTTTTTTTGTTCTGTACATTCGTACCTTAGATTGAAAGACATCCTTATCCTTCATTATTTTCTTTCAGGTAAAAAAGTGCAATACAGATAATGTCTACGTGTTTGAATGGAAATCTTTCTTTTTATTCATGTTTTGTAATGATTTCAGCAAATTTCGGTGTGAATTGAGACAATTGTTGACACGCTGGTATCTTATTTGTTGTTCCTTCAATTTACGGTGTAAAAGAAATATTTCCAAATATTCCAGTTTGTATACTTAATTTAGAGTTACTGGTAACAACAAAAAGTGAACCCTACACATCCTTTGTAAGGATCCCGAATACTTTCGCCAACAGAACAATCAAACTGAATTTCTGAACATGCTGAATAGAATTTGTTTTGATTGTAGCTGAAAATAATGAAAACATTGCGGCATTATCCGAAACCAGCGCCCAATATTAAAGGAAAGAAATTGGAGACACCTGTCCAATGGTTTGGCGATTGGACTCCTGTGTGGCCGAATGCAGTCCAAAACTTAGCTAAGCAAAAACCATCAAAATTCCAGGATAACGACTCGGGACTTGAGGACGTCGCTAATATTGGACTCAGCATCCACGATATTGAGTTCAGGGCGCGTCATGTAAGCTTGGTCAATTTTTTCGGATCGAATGATTATTATTTTAATTAGACATTTGTGTGCGAGATATTTGTGTTATGTTTGTGAGTATGTATCAGTGTTGACTTTAATCAATAACAGTAATGCATGGTAAGTGTAAATGTAACCATACCAAAATCATGACAACTTACCCTCAGAAGTAACAAGGGAAGTAACTCGTGGAACAAACTCTATAAGACCATGGCCATAGACCGCTCTCTGTGTGACATATAACGATATAGAATAATTTACTATAAACCACGTGACTACTTGATATCCTTTACATGACAAGTCATGTGTAAATACAAAAATTATAGTTCATAGTAATTTTGATAGAATTTACAATTGTTCCACCTTTACGTGTTTTTTCTCTTTTCATATACATATTCATGTAATTTAGGTCTATAAATGATATTTCAATACTTTTAACACCTTGGTGAATTAAAAACGTTCGTCGAAAATTTACTGTACTGGTTTACTCTGTCGAACACATTTTTACAGGGATACAGTAGAATATTTTGGACACGAAATCCGTTTGGTATTTGGAATTGAGAGGGATCGGTATGGAGAAGGTTATACTAAAAAGGATATCATTCCTTGTATATTGTATATATGATGATTTGAGCCTTTACATTACAGACACCTCGCTATTTCAACGAAAGCTTTGATGATTTGATAGAGTATCTCGTCATGGGTATTGATACATCAGCAAATCCTGAGATGTTGATTGTTAGAGCGCTGGTCGGCTGGCTGAGCAGTCAAAAGCTTAACACGTTCAAACATTTAACAGGGACGGAGGACACGCCTGAAGGGTGTCTGGCTCTTCTAGCCCAGAGGCGTACAACCTTCTCCACTGTGTTCACCATAATTTGTCGGTAAGATGTATTGGTGGAACGCACCATCATAATAAAACATAAGTATTTCAGTCAGAGATACCCGTTTTCGTAACCATATTTCTTAAATAAATTAACAACGTGTAAGTGGTATTGTCCTTTCAAACAGCATCATCATGTCACTGCTCGGAAAATGCATGTTATTGAACTGAAAACTAGTTTATACCTCCGGAACGAAAGATCGTTCTTGTGCTGTCTGTTAGTCTGTTGTCAACGTTAACCTTTTCCATAACTATTGCACCGTAACAGGTAGGGTGTGTTCCTTGTGAAAAGACCATTCCGATGGTACCAAATGTGTTGAACATGTGACCTTGACCGTGACCTTTGACATACATTTGAAAAAAAATTAACATGACCATAACTATTGATCCAAAACTGTCAAATCATTACTACAATGAAGACATAAGTTTCACAACGTGTGCATGCAATTATCACATGCTTTACACAGTACAGTTTTAATGCCCCACTTACGAATTGTGTGGCAAGTGGGTACATAGTGTTTAATAAACACATCTTGTTTCTATTAACTTCGCACAGGAAAGCCGACATCACATGTGTTCAGGTTGGTGGGATGTGTAAAGCGCTCGGACGATATCAACCTGGGCATACGAACATGACAGATTTAGCGTGTCTATGGAACGCGATCTACATTGAAAAGCAGTGGTACATTATTCACCCAATATGGATGTGCAAGGCTTTTGTTGGTGCAAAATCGAACGGTTGGTTCAAGATTGTAGAAAAGTCCCAAGTCTTAACGAACTTTAACAAATATGCGTTCACAGAATACTATGTGATGACTGATCCAGAAGAGTTTAAATACACTTGTTTTCCGTTCGATCCGCAATGGCAGCTACAAAAGACACCCATATCCAGGCAGGAGTTTCTAGAGCAGCCTTTTCTACTGCCCCCATTTTTCGGTCTAGGACTTGAACTGAAATCAAAGCATTCTTGTGTTCTGGACGTAAACAACGGTAAGACTTTGATCGAAGTGGAAGCTAAGGCGAGAAACTCCAATCTGTTACATCTGTGGTATGAGCTTTCCTTTGGCAATAACATAGCCTTGTTAAATGAATCAGACAGGGAGTTCGTGGAACCTCAAGTGCTGCCAAGGCACGTGCGAATGGTTCGGTTCGCAAACAAATGGAATTTCGATATTCATCTACCAGTGGAAGGTGTATACAAATTCGCAATTTTTGCAGGGCCTAACCAGAATCCATTGGTGAGAGTTTGTGAGTTCCTTTTGAAGTGTTTAACACGCAAACCTAGTTGTCTTCCCCTTCGAATTGATCCCGGTTTTATTGGATTTGGACCAAATATTTCATCAGAAAGAGTTGGTCTTGTGATTCCTTTGAAAAGACGTGGCGAAATTTATGTTAAGAAGGACGATGTATTCAACGCAAAATTTCTAATCGATGGAAATATCGCTGATAAGATAGAAGTGAAGGCAACGTTTTATCCATCCGGATTTGCTGGTTCAAGAACGGAAAAGGTGTCGTGTGAATTAAACAGAAAGCAAAGAGAGGTTTCGGTAACTACCACGGTACCAAAAGATGGGGAGTATATTCTGACGATGTGGACGGCCAGTAACTTTGAACAGCGCAAGCGACAAGGCTATCAACCAGTCTGTCATTACTTGTTGACGTCATATATTTCACCAGTCCAAGAGGTCAGTTTTTGTAAAATGACTTACGTGTTACACCTGTCCTAATAGTCAATATCTAATCACTTGGCTTATTTGTTACACCTGTCCTAATAGTCAATATTTAATCACTGGACTTATTTGTTACACCTGTCCTAATAGTCAATATTTAATCACTGGACTTATTTGTTACACCTGTCCTAATAGTCAATATTTAATCACTGGACTTATTTGTCACACCTGTCCTAATAGTCAATATTTAATCACTGGACTTATTTGTTACACCTGTCCTAATAGTCAATATTTAATCACTGGACTTATTTGTTACACCTGTCCTAATAGTCAATATTTAATCACTGGACTTATTTGTCACACCTGTCCTAATAGTCAATATTTAATCACTGGACTTATTTGTTACACCTGTCCTAATAGTCAATATTTAATCACTGGACTTATTTGTTACACCTGTCCTAATAGTCAATATTTAATCACTGGACTTATTTGTCACACCTGTCCTAATAGTCAATATTTGATCAGTGGACTTATTTGTTACACCTGTCCCAAAGGTCAATATTTAGTCGCCGGACGTATTTTTTACTAGAATTATTCATTCACCTGTTCAATAAGCGAGTAACTTTTCATTAAACTTATTTCTTTGTCCCTGTAATTACTTGTTGCATCTGTAAAAGAGGTTAGGAACGTGTCATTGAATTTGTTCGGTTTGTTACAGATACAGTCAAATGATATGGTCTGATGTTTTATTTTACAAACATGTGTAGCATTTAAAACATTCTTTAGCTCCTTTTGTTGTTGTGGTTTATATAGATGAGAAAAAATTTGGCTCCTGATGTAATTAGCGATCAAAGCCGGCACAATTACAGCCGGAGTATATCAGTAACAGAAAGGTGGGTTTCACGGTGCACAATAGACACATTTACTTGACGCTCTTCCAAAATTATCTGATAAATGAAAATTACAAAAAGTATTTGATTATGGGGCTGGTGCACCTCCTCGTCTAAAGTTTAACTTTCGATTACTTGTTATTTCCTCTCTCACCTCCAAGGTTTCAGCTGTATGATGCAATTAAATGATTCTTTCGTCTCTGCTGTATCTTACTCTAACTGTATATATAAAAGTGATATCCACGGTGGAATGGTATGTACGATACTACTATCAGGATCACTTCTTTCGCTTATTCATTGATCATGATTATGAATGTGCCGGTTCTTACAAAGCATATGTTGTTTGTAGTCTCCCCGTCAAAGACATCAGAGACGGAAACTCCAAGTTGCCATGGAAGCTGAGGATATGAATGGAATGGAAGGTGCGATACAGCAGTGTATTAAAGAAGGGATCGATCCGGAGGATGATGAACTCCAATATACCAAACTCAAATGTCAGATTCTAAAAGCCAGGAAAGGTACTAATCTAATACTTTATAAAGTCTATTGATCCACCATGACCAATCATTTAGTCTTTCTTTTAGATTACCTGTTACGTTTCCGCCTAATGGAGACCATAATTTACATATTGATACCCTTCCAAAACTCCACGATTTCCAGTTTCTTGGCAACGATATAATCCACTTACTCTGTCTCGTTTCATTTATTTAGATATCATTGTAGGTTTGAAAACTGAATTTTCAACACGTTCCTACTATATAGCATGCATTTTCAAACCTATGGATTTTTTCAATATTATTTTTGCTATTTAAAAGATTTTTGGATACTTTTCAGATATTCATGACTGCATTCTGAGAAAAAATCTCGACATTACTCTACAGACTCTGAAATTTATTAGGCAGTCGAAACTAACCAAAGTCCTCTGTCAGGAAATTGTAACTTTGGTTAAATTAAAGGAAGGACAAGACTATGGTCAGGTCGGCTCGGACTGGGAGGAGACGGAGTCAGAATATTCTCTTCAGTATTCCCTTAATTCCCTACAAGGATGGAAAACTAACTAGATCATACACTGGTCACATCGTTGATACAAAGGAATCTCACATCATTTATCTGATAGCATACTAACGTTTTCTTTATTGTTCATGTACGTATGCTAAACTGACGAGGGGCATCGAAATCGTTGAAAAGCTTCCGAATGATTTCTGTTTTCGCCCGTTTTGTACCGATAAATGTCCTCTTTTCCTTTCCGAATTCAGAAGTATGAATACACGTTGAAATCATTCATTTTGTTCAATCGATATGAAAATGTTACATTAACTTCATAATTAAGGTGTTTTATTTCTTTATCTAACATTTTATCCTCGTCAGAACCACACTCAAGGCTATACACAACACGAGGAGTGGTACACTATAGAATCCTATAAACTCAGTTACATATCAAAACAACACTCATTAGGTGTATGCTTTGTTCTCACGTTAATTCATAAGCAAGACTGCTTTTGTATGTGAGCTTTCCGATGTGATTATGATAAAGAGTATTTTCTTATATTTGTCTATCAAAGACGGGGTGTTTTGTTGCTTGAATTTGTGCAATAACAATTGTGATGCGTTATGAAAATATAATAATGTATATTGATATGTGAATGAATTTTGTAATCTGTATACGTGTGACATTAAGACAGGTTTCGCTGTAATCTGTATACGTGTGACATTTTTACAGGTTTCGTTGTAATCTGTATACATGTGACATTTTGACAGGTTTCGCTGTAATCTGTATACGTGTGACATTTTGACAGGTTTCGCTGTAATCTGTATACGTGTGACATTTTGACAGGTTTCGCTGTAATCTGTATACGCGTGACATTACGACAGGTTTCGCTGTAATCTGTATGAGTGTGACATTTTGACAGGTTTCGCTGTAATCTGTATACGTGTGACATTACGACAGGTTTCGCTGTAATCTGTATACGTGTGACATTTTGACAGATTTCGCTGTAATCTGTATACGTGTGACATTACGACAGGTTTCGCGGTAATCTGTATACGCGTGACATTACGACAGATTTCGCTGTAATCTGTATACGTGTGACATTTTGACGGGTTTCGCTGTAATCTGTATACGCGTGACATTTTGACAGGTTTCGCTGTAATCTGTATACGTGTGACATTACGACAGGTTTCGCTGTAATCTGTAGACGTGTGACATTACGACAGGTTTCGCTGTAATCTGTATACGTGTGACATTTTGACAAGTTTCGCTGTAATCTGTTTACGTGTGACATTTTTACAGATTTCGCTGTAATCTGTATACGTGTGACATTACGACAGGTTTCGCTGTAATCTGTATGAGTGTGACATTACGACAGGTTTCGCTGTAATGTGTATGGGTGTGACATTACGGCAGGTTTGGCTGTAATCTGTATGAGTGTGACATTTTGACAGGTTTCGCTGTAATCTGTATACGTGTGACATTTTGACAGGTTTCGCTGTAATCTGTAGACGTGTGACATTACGACAGGTTTCGCTGTAATCTGTATACGTGTGACATTACGACAGGTTTCGCTGTAATCTGTATACGTGTGACATTACGACAGGTTTCGCTGTAATCTGTAGACGTGTGACATTACGACAGGTTTCGCTGTAATCTGTATACGTGTGACATTACGACAGGTTTCGCTGTAATCTGTAGACGTGTGACATTACGACAGGTTTCGCTGTAATCTGTATACTTGTGACATTACGACAGGTTTCGCTGTAATCTGTATACTTGTGATATTACGACAGGTTTCGCTGTAATCTGTAGACGTGTGACATTACGACAGGTTTCGCTGTAATCTGTATACTTGTGACATTACGACAGGTTTCGCTGTAATCTGTATACTTGTGACATTACGACAGGTTTCGCTGTAATCTGTAGACGTGTGACATTACGACAGGTTTCGCTGTAATCTGTAGACGTGTGACATTACGACAGGTTTCGCTGTAATCTGTATACGTGTGACATTACGACAGGTTTCGCTGTAATCTGTAGACGTGTGACATTACGACAGGTTTCGCTGTAATCTGTATACGTGTGACATTACGACAGGTTTCGCTGTAATCTGTATACGTGTGACATTACGACAGGTTTCGCTGTAATCTGTAGACGTGTGACATTACGACAGGTTTCGCTGTAATCTGTATACGTGTGACATTACGACAGGTTTCGCTGTAATCTGTAGACGTGTGACATTACGACAGGTTTCGCTGTAATCTGTATACTTGTGACATTACGACAGGTTTCGCTGTAATCTGTATACTTGTGATATTACGACAGGTTTCGCTGTAATCTGTAGACGTGTGACATTACGACAGGTTTCGCTGTAATCTGTATACTTGTGACATTACGACAGGTTTCGCTGTAATCTGTATACTTGTGACATTACGACAGGTTTCGCTGTAATCTGTAGACGTGTGACATTACGACAGGTTTCGCTGTAATCTGTAGACGTGTGACATTACGACAGGTTTCGCTGTAATCTGTATACGTGTGACATTACGACAGGTTTCGCTGTAATCTGTATGAGTGTGACATTACGACAGGTTTCGCTGTAATCTGTATACGCGTGACATTACGACAGGTTTCGCTGTAATCTGTATGAGTGTGACATTTTGACAGGTTTCGCTGTAATCTGTATACGTGTGACATTACGACAGGTTTCGCTGTAATCTGTATACGTGTGACATTTTGACAGATTTCGCTGTAATCTGTATACATGTGACATTACGACAGGTTTCGCGGTAATCTGTATACGCGTGACATTACGACAGATTTCGCTGTAATCTGTATACGTGTGACATTTTGACGGGTTTCGCTGTAATCTGTATACGCGTGACATTTTGACAGGTTTCGCTGTAATCTGTATACGTGTGACATTACGACAGGTTTCGCTGTAATCTGTAGACGTGTGACATTACGACAGGTTTCGCTGTAATCTGTATACGTGTGACATTTTGACAGGTTTCGCTGTAATCTGTTTACGTGTGACATTTTTACAGATTTCGCTGTAATCTGTATACGTGTGACATTACGACAGGTTTCGCTGTAATCTGTATGAGTGTGACATTACGACAGGTTTCGCTGTAATGTGTATGGGTGTGACATTACGGCAGGTTTCGCTGTAATCTGTATGAGTGTGACATTTTGACAGGTTTCGCTGTAATCTGTATACGTGTGACATTTTGACAGGTTTCGCTGTAATCTGTAGACGTGTGACATTACGACAGGTTTCGCTGTAATCTGTATACGTGTGACATTTTGACAGGTTTCGCTGTAATCTGTTTACGTGTGACATTTTTACAGATTTCGCTGTAATCTGTATACGTGTGACATTACGACAGGTTTCGCTGTAATCTGTATGAGTGTGACATTACGACATGTTTCGCTGTAATCTGTATGGGTGTGACATTACGACATGTTTCGCTGTAATCTGTATGGGTGTGACATTACGGCAGGTTTCGCTGTAATCTGTATGAGTGTGACATTTTGACAGGTTTCGCTGTAATCTGTATACGTGTGGCATTTTGACAGGTTTCGCTGTAATCTGTATGTGACATTATGACAGATTTCGCTGTAATCTGTTTACGTGTGACATTTCGACAGGTTTCGCTGTAATCTGTATACTTGTGATATTACGACAGGTTTCGCTGTAATCTGTATAGGTGTGACATTACGACAGGTTTCGCTGTAATCTGTAGACGTGTGACATTACGACAGGTTTCGCTGTAATCTGTAGACGTGTGACATTACGACAGGTTTCGCTGTAATCTGTATACGTGTGACATTACGACAGGTTTCGCTGTAATCTGTAGACGTGTGACATTACGACAGGTTTCGCTGTAATCTGTAGACGTGTGACATTACGACAGGTTTCGCTGTAATCTGTAGACGTGTGACATTACGACAGGTTTCGCTGTAATCTGTATACTTGTGACATTACGACAGGTTTCGCTGTAATCTGTATACTTGTGATATTACGACAGGTTTCGCTGTAATCTGTATAGGTGTGACATTACGACAGGTTTCGCTGTAATCTGTAGACGTGTGACATTACGACAGGTTTCGCTGTAATCTGTATACGTGTGACATTACGACAGGTTTCGCTGTAATCTGTATACGTGTGACATTACGACAGGTTTCGCTGTAATCTGTAGACGTGTGACATTACGACAGGTTTCGCTGTAATCTGTATACTTATGACATTACGACAGGTTTCGCTGTAATCTGTATACTTGTGACATTACGACAGGTTTCGCTGTAATCTGTAGACGTGTGACATTACGACAGGTTTCGCTGTAATCTGTAGACGTGTGACATTACGACAGGTTTCGCTGTAATCTGTATACGTGTGACATTACGACAGGTTTCGCTGTAATCTGTATGAGTGTGACATTACGACAGGTTTCGCTGTAATCTGTATACGTGTGACATTACGACAGGTTTCGCTGTAATCTGTATACGTGTGACATTACGACAGGTTTCGCTGTAATCTGTAGACGTGTGACATTACGACAGGTTTCGCTGTAATCTGTAGACGTGTGACATTACGACAGGTTTCGCTGTAATCTGTATACGTGTGACATTACGACAGGTTTCGCTGTAATCTGTAGACGTGTGACATTACGACAGTTTTCGCTGTTTGCCAGGATATTGACTAGTGTAACTCTGACACTTTTGATGCAAACCTTTCATTTTGATATCAAACGTTTTTTTTTTTTTTTTGTTATTGTTATAAATTCAAAGAATAAAACAAAATCAGTGAACTTTACCTGAATATTTTTATGTACATGAAAAGATGTTGCAATTGAAAAAAAGACTGCCTTTGGTGTAATGCATTGAAAATGGAGGAGATGTGTTCATCCTACCAGGAGTGTTTAGTGTTTTGTGACTCCGGCAAACTTCCCCTTTATTGAGCAGATATAGTGACAGTTCCTTCTCCAAAACTGGCAGTTGCATTTATAATGTTTTAGTGAATATTTTAATGTGAAAAAATGTGTGATTTGATGACATACAGAACAAGGATTGGACTTCACAATTTCTCCAGATTCTGGAGGGGTGGAGTGCGGACCTCTGCAGGGAAAAATATTGAACAATGTACAGGTAAACTTACCTTTGTTCTTACCTGTGTTACAATAGGGATTATACTGGCTCTTAGTGAATGGCTAGTCAGCCATGACAGAACTTTTAATGGGGAGTTTACCGTTGTTGGGGCCCCAACAGTTGTACCTGACTTTGTTTATATGCAAAGCACATTTACAGATTGTACGACTGGGAACAAACTTACTCATTACTACAATGGAAATATTGAAAATGTGAAAACTGACCA